AATGGTTTCATGAAGCTCATGCCTAGCCTTCCTCACAGGGCGATGGCTAAACACATCCTTGGCAAAATGTCAGAAGGGAGTGATATGTTAGGCTGAGCACGTAGAAGAGAGTTGGACAAGGTCAAAGAATGTAGGAAGATGGTGGGAGAGTTTGTTGTCTGATCCTTGCATTCATCGCCTCTTTTGAGACCCATAGCTACACTGCATCCTAAAGCATCCACCCAAGATTAGGTTCCAGGCTGAGGAATGTACCAAAAAAAAAAAAAAAAAAAAAAAAAAAAAAGAAAGAAAGAAAAGAAAAGATGCTTGCACCTCTCTGCCCAAGCCATCACACCTCCCTAATGTGCTTGTTTCCCTTTCACTCACTTGGCTGGGAAATGACCTCAGGAATGACTTTGAGTGTCACTGGTTGGAAGTTAATGAACCCAGACATGCCCCTGTCTTCCTCCCCACCCCCACCCCTACCAACCAGGAATATCCACAATAAATATTAACTTTGAGCACCATATAAATTTTTGTTTTATATCTGATGAGATTTGGAGATTTGTCATAGTTGCTACTGCTACAAGATCAGCTGGGCAGATTTGCAAAGTTCCAATGCATGTGACCAGGTTTACAAATAAGGGAAGTGAGGGTCTGAGTGTTGAGCATCTCACCCAGCATTCCAGAAGTGAACTGTGGAAACACTCTGTGTCACCTGAGGCCCTTTCTACAAAAGAAGCAACAAATAAACTCCAATTGGTTCAAAGTCTTGAAAACTGATTTTGACCAACATACTAAGAAATGAAGGCTGTGTGAATTAAACATTATTGAACACTGTGCTGTTACCTATACATCCCTAAATACAGCTGTTCTTAGTTTTCTGTTAAGCATTTTTTAAGTCATGCTTGCAGGAATTATCATGTGATTGATATCCACTGATGTTTTGGTGAAGATTAGCATTCTATAGGTTGATCATTTCTAATTTCCCTCCTTAGCATATAATTTGTCTTTCTAATGAATCTCTGGTAGTGTTTAACACTAGGTTTTCACAAGTATCAAAATTCACAGACACTAGGCTCTTCCCTCTTCATTTTATCATTTTTTTCTAACAACAATTGACACATTTTATCATAGAGAAAAAAGCAACTTGAAAGTCACCTCAAAAGCCAGGTTTATCACTGTGGAATTCAAGATATGGGTTAGTGAGAGAAAGAGAGAGAAAGAGAAAGAGAGAGAGAGAGAGAGAGAGAGAGAGAGAGAGAGAGAGAGAGAGAGAGAGAGATGGACTGTAGCAATCTGTGTGGCACTCTGGTATGGCAGGGGCATCAATGTACTTTTGTGTTACTATAATCTGTATCAGTTTAACATAGATATAAAGGGCACGTGTGTAGGATATGTATATACGTATATCCATCATATATGTATCCATCTCTGTCTACCGAGAAGGCTATAAAGAGTGGCCATCAGCAAGCAAACAGCCAAACAATTTGTTTCTGTTATAATTCTCACTACAACCCAATCAAAATAAAAACATTCAAAACCTCTATAAGAGGTGATTGATTCTAGAATCAATCATGGAAATATAGAAGATGAACCTGGAGCATCTTGTAAGATTATAAAGTAACGAATGCTCTTTTTTTAATGAATACTTTTTTAAAAGAGAAAAATGGCATCCTATTAAAGAAGGATATGTCAAAAAGACACAGGAGTCAAGCAGTTACCTGAAAGTGTGATGAAGGGCTAAATTCAGAATAATTTTAGCAATCAAGCAGTCTATAATTATAAAGCAAAGTGTGTGTGTGTGTGTGTGTGTGTGTGTGTGTGTGTGTGTGTGTGTGTTTGTATCAAGGTAAATGAAAGCTAAATAGAATAATAGTGTGAAATAGACCAGCATCCTGCATAGAAGAATTTCAAATGATTTGCAGGCCCAATTCTGAGGAGGAAAAAGGTAGTGCTAGCTCTCCACACCTCTACAGTAGCTGTAGGTAGCAATTTTCCTCTCAAAAATACAGTATGGAATGTGGTTAATTTCACAATGACAAAAGCGAGTAAACATGACTCCAGGCAAGCAGTTGAGCTCACATCAAGAGTCACATTTATAAAACTCATCCTTGGTGTGATACAAAAGTAGCACTTTACCACTGTGTTTTTCCTTCATCAAATTGCATCTAATTATGAGAGAATTACCTCATAGTTCCCATTATGGGAAAATTCTAAAGGGATCCCATGAATTCTCCTCAAAATTTTCAAGTATATCAATTAAAAGCAAGGACTGTCTGAGACATTTTCCCAACTAAAAGATATGAAAGGAAATATAACCACTAAATATTATATGGATTTGTGGATGGGATCCTGGCACAGAAAAATGACAAGATAGCAATTGAAGAATCGGCTGTATTGAATATACTGTACTAACATATTAATGATGGAAGAAATTGGGTGGTAATTAGAATTCAACTCCCTATATTTCCTAAAATTTTCTACAATCTAAAGTGTCTAAAATTAAGTCATATTTACTTCATCACCATCAGTCTCATCATCAAGTTACAGAGACATTTTAATGCCACCTTTATCTTTCATTTGTGCATATATGGCTTTATCTTTCCAGGTAGCTACACACTGTACATAGTTTTCCCTTAACAGTGACTTAATGTATTTCCATGTGTTTTAATTCTACATGATATGTATTTATAAGTCATTTATTTTAGCAAGTTGTTATGCTTAACTTTTAGTCAATTACCTATTGTTATCTTTTCCCCAAAAATTCTAATGACTCTATTAGGCAAGGAGATGAAGGAGAAAGTGAGGACAGAATAATTGTGTGTTGTGTATTGTGAAAAGTGAGGATAATTATGTGTTGGGTATTGTGAGAAGTGAGGAGGATGTCTACTGTTGGAACCGGAGGGAACATAATGCCCTGAGAAAGAAAATACTCAGATATCAGTTCCAACTTCAGTGATAACCCTGGGTGCAGCCTGGAAGTTCCCTAATCTCCCTACTGTCTAGGTTCCTTGTTTACAAAATGGAATAGGTAACTTATTCGTCAGAATCCATTCCCTAATATTACTGTTGTGTTTTTTTTAAAGACAGTTTCTTACAAAATTGTATGTAAAGAATATGACCAACTACCTTTAATATAATTAAGAGACAGAAGAATATCATCATTTAATATTCATTTATTTTATGTGTATATGAGTATTTTTCCTGCATGCATACTATATGCATGGCTGTTGCCTGTGGAGGTCAGAAGAGGACACGGGCTTCCCTAGAACTGGCGTTACTGTTGGTTGTGAGCCTTTCATGGGAGGAAACCAAAGTATGCATGAGGATTTTGGAGTCTCTGCTGTAGTCTGGAGCCTCCCTCAAAGGCTGAGCATTAAGAACAACAGTCTCTAGTTCGGGGCTGATCAGGTCCTCTGCAATAATACATGTTCTTAATTGCTAAGCCATCTCTCCAATCCTGAAATAAACTTTCTTTTTGCTGCATAGCTAAAAAGTTTGGGATCATATGACACTAATGGAATACATTATAAATGGTATTAAAATCTGATAGTTGAAAACAAATGAACAAAAACTGTTTTCTTTTTGAGGGAGCATGAGGAGTATTGCAATGACCCTGAATTCAGTGGCAGTCTAACAGTAGAATGACCTTCCAGGGAAATTGCAAAGGCCTGAGATGGGAAGAAGCTTCTAGCTTGGATTGGATGGTGAAACACCAAGATTAATACAGGACCTATTCCCCAACACAGTTATCGGGATCATTTTCAGTTTTATAAGGCTGAAATTTTTATACGATCTTATTTACACAGTGCTATAAATTCAGGTCCTTAAATGTTATCCTTTCTCCTAGATTAGGCTGTTTTATTTGATGCCTTAGCTGAGAGATCACTTCTGATAAAGAAAACTAAATATATACAATATCTATTTGGAAAATGAGCACATTAGCTTGTTTGTGTGCTGAGATGTGCACCCCTCTAAGCGTCTAATGGAAAATGGGTTCCTGGTTGTTACTGAAAGTGATCAAAAAGGATCCATTGAGATACTGTCTTCACCATTGGACATCATTCCAAACTGGGGAAATCAGCTCACAATCAAATTGCGCAACTCGTCCTCAGGATTTTTTCTGTTTTGTTTGTTTTGTTGTTTTTCTCCCACAACAAGAATTTATGAATACCCCACCACGTTTAAAATTCCACACACGTTTGAAATTGATCTGGACTGCTGCTGGGAGTTCCTGGCCTTCACACTCATGAGCACCGAGGGCAGCGTTGTAGGAGCTTCCTTTCTCTCTAAGGGAGGCTTAGTTTTTTTGTTTTTTTTTTTTTTTTTTTTTTTTTTTTTTTTTCTTGCAAGATCTGCAGTTTGTTGCCCCCTGCCTACCTAGCTCTCTTTCTTCAGGCAAAACTGCCAGCTGTGTCTCTGAAAGTTCTGCTTCTGAAATTAGACTGACAGAAGAAAATTATCCTAAAGGCAAAGGCCTGAAGCAGCTGTGATGAAGAAAAGGGGGTTGGGGGAGAGGGCAGTATTAACAACTTTAGGTCCTGAACCCTCAAGCTTACAGAACATAGGTGTAATACTTAGGGAGGAGCCCCCCCCCACGCGCACACACACACACACACACACACACACACACACACACACACACACACACACACACACACACAGGCAAATGCCTAATCCCCAACCTCCATAGTGATGATGAAGTTATCTAGAGATGATGAAGATATCTAGGCATAGGACGGGGTCTCTGGCAGGCCTCAACTCAGGACTTGTGGCAAGGCAGCCTGGAAAGTGATGCAAGAAAAGCCCTTGCATGTTTTGTGGAACGTTAAAAATGCAGCATCATCCTATCTGCTCCCTTTTCTTTGGACAAAAGACAGAATTCGAGGGCACAGGGCGCCAAGAGGAGCTGGCAATCTGCTCTCTGGAGGAGGTGTGGAGCCCCTCCCTCCTAGGTTCTGATGGCCCCTGCTTCCATGGGCCAGCAGTGCCTTCACCCTTTACCTTGTCCATTCACTCCAGCCGAGAAGAGAAGGAAAACAAAACTCTAAAAATAACTGTCAGCATCTTAAAAAGAGAAAAGCTTCGCTGCCACCACCACCCCCCCCCTCTTCTACTCCCGCCCTCCTTCCGCGCCACGGGGCACATGTCTGCTTCTTACAACACCGCGAGGCACATGGTCCCAGTTAGACATCGAACCCCATCGGGACAGAAAGGAAATCCACATCTGTGGGACGCTCCGCACAGAACCGCCACCTCCAGCGAGGGAGGCCGGGGGGACTGCAGCAGCGACATGAAGAAGGGCTAGAGCGAGGGGACGCGGCTCATGCGGTGAGAGGCAGCGCGCGCGCGCCGGCCAGGGCGCGGGGAGGCCGGGGACACCGGGTGGGCCCTGCCAGCCCCCGCAGCGCCCGCCGTCCGGCCCCCCACGCGCGCTCCCGAGACTTGAGACTTGCGGGCCTTGCTGCAACTTGCTGCAGTGTTTGAAAGAGTAGTAAGAGCGCATGGAGGTGGGGCCGGGGGAAGACCGGGCGGAGCGGTTGCGGGATGTGCGCGGGGAGGGGGCGGGGAGGGGGCGGGGAGGAGGCGGTGGCGGAGGTGGGGAGGGGGGGCTGATCCCTGGGGGGGGGTGAAATGGGATGGGGGAGAGGGGGGTAGCCCCAGCGCTTACACATGTCACATGTGCTCTTTAAGACGGCCGGGAGCGCCTGCGAGCTGGATCTGGTGGAGGATGCTGCGGCAGGTGCTTCGCAGAGGGCTCCAGTCATTCTGCCACAGGCTGGGCTTGTGCGTGAGCCGGCACCCGGTCTTTTTCCTCACCGTGCCGGCAGTCCTGACCATCACCTTCGGCCTCAGCGCGCTCAACCGCTTCAAGACCGAGGGCGACCTGGAGCGCCTGGTTGCTCCCAGCCACAGCCTGGCCAAGATCGAGCGCAGCCTAGCCAGCAGCCTTTTCCCCCTGGACCAGTCCAAAAGCCAGCTCTATTCGGACTTACACACCCCTGGGAGGTATGGCAGGGTGATCCTCCTCTCCTCACCCGGGGACAATATTTTGCTCCAGGCTGAGGGGATCCTGCAGACCCACCGAGCCGTGCTGGAAATGAAGGTGAACCACAAGGGCTATAATTATACTTTTTCCCATCTGTGTGTATTGAGAAATCAGGTAAAGAAATGCGTGCTGGATGATATTATTTCAGTGCTAGAGGATCTCAGGCAGGCTGCCGTCTCCAATAAGACAACAGCCAGGGTGCAAGTAAGGTATCCCAACACTAAATTAAAGGTATGCTCCTCCTGCATGCTTCTGCCACTTAAAGAGGCGGCACACTTCATTTCTCGCCCTAAACAAGCAAAGAAAATGCAGAGGTCTCATCCTTAAAGCTCAGAAGCTATGGCTTCTTTCATTTCTGGAGGGTTGGAGGGGGAAATGATGGGCAACCGAGCAAAGCAAATGTGCGATGAACGCTACAACTAGATAAGAAATTCAAAGCCAAATCAAACACCAAAAAAAAAAAAAAAAAAAAAAAAAAAAAAAGGACAAAGAAAAAAAGTTTTTTTTGAGACCCTGCAGTTACATCTTTGTTCAGGGTTAATTAATCTGCGGATGGAGGGGGAGGGGGTGTCCTGAACAATTGGGGGATTTCTTTTCATGATGGGGCTCAATGTATTTCTTATTACTGATTACACATTCGCCTGGTATCATATCCACCTTTTTTGCATCTTCAGCCTGGCTCGATTTTCTCTTCTCTTCTTTTCTTTTCTTTTCTTTTCTTTTCTTTTTTTTTTTAACAGGGGTGGTCATGGAGTTTTGCTGCTCTGTGGTTATGTCTGTTGGTTATGAATGTGGCGGCAGGGATTCCAGGAATTGTGTGTGTGTGTGTGTGTGTGTGTGTGTGTGTGTGTGTGTGTACGTGTGCTTGCATAGCAAAAGAAGTAGGGATTTTCTATGAATCAGAGTAAGGGAGTGTGCTTAACTGATGCATTAGTCTGCTTAGTATGCCCTTCCTATCCCATAAAGTATCCCAGACTCAAAGAAGATTGATGATAGCTGCCAAATAACGGAAAGTAAAGAAAAAGTTCACAATCAGCAGAAAGTACACGGCACTTCAGCATTAAATCACTACACTATCTGGACTCTCAAGTGAAATTTTGACACTCCTGAGTGAGACTCCTAAACTCATTCTACATAGTCAGGACTGGGATGCTGCAGCCAATGAGGCATGCAGGCTGCAGGTGATTGAAGTCTCAGGGACAAATGTGACCTCCTTAAGGCTCACTGCACCATTTGTGTGCTTGACCCTCCTCTTCATGCTAAGGAGCTATGCCTCTGAAAAATCCCAAGACAGGTGTTTCCCAAGAAGGAAATGATAGGTATATGGGGCTGTGTGTGTGTGCATCTATGAAGATAACGGAACTGGAAAGACCATTGCAGAATATCACAACACCCATTTACTTATTAGATAGGGTCACCAGTATATAAAATGCATATGACTCCTGAGTTAAGCAACAATTTGGTACAGCTAGGAACCTTATCTTCCCTCCTTTGAGCATGGCACATTGTTTGCAGGGATCCAGAGGCTTACCCTGTCTCAGCTTTACCAAACTGAGCAGCCCCTGAGTGCTAAGGACAGCAGGAAGATGAGTCATTAGCTTACACCCGATGAAGGGCTTGCCTGCTTTGTGCTAATGATGGAGTATGATGGAGACTGCCTGGGCAGCATGCTTTTCATTTCCCCACTCCTTTGCCATCCCCATCACTGCTTGCTAAGGAAAGGATGTGGTGGAGAGGTAGTCTTTCTCACCTGTAGGCCTAACCCAGTTCTTCTTGGTACCAATCGTGTAAAGAAAGATTTGAGCTGTATCGTAGTCACACTAGAGTTTGTTTTCCCTATTGAGTCAAGTTTGCAGGTCATTCATACATATAATTAGTTGGGTCTCAATCGAGTTTATTCAGCAGTACTCTCCAAGTGGAAGAGCTTCATCCAGCCAGCAGCTCAGGGCATTTTGTTTGTTGGTGATATCATCTTGACATTTGCAATACCAATCTCTATGGTATTCTTTTTATTCACCTAATAGTTATTAGTTGTGCCTGTATGATTTGGAGTGTGGTCTTTTAGATACGTGAGGTCGAATAATAGCAAAATAAATGTTCTTTCTTCCAGTGAGTTTCAAGGTACTAGATATCAGCATTTTCATTCACCAAGACAAGAGTAACTTGTAAGCACACATTCTGCAATTGTGTAAACTCTTGCACCAACACCATGCTTCTGCCTACACTTTATGACCGAGTGACTGATTGACAGACTGACAGACTGACAACTTGATGGTTGATGAACATATAGGCAGGCCCCTACGAGTAATCATAAAGAAAAGGTGTAATTCATTGCAAGTTACTGGTAATAGCACTAGTCTGTTGCCTGTAGGAGGGACAGAGCTATCACATATGGACTGGTGTTCTTATTTAACTGTATCCATTATTCATCTTTCCTCAACTGTGCTGGTTTGAGTCTGTGTTTGTGGCTTCAACGGGGGTTGTCTTTAAGCTAACTTGGGGTAAATGAACTTTTTGAGGTATTCTAAGAACAACAAACCCTCTCAAGGCTAGACATAATCTCACAAGTGCTCATGCAGTATAAATCACAATTGTGTAAGGACCATAGGAACCTAGAATTCTGCAATGGAGACTCCAGGGGAGTTCAGGAGCAGAACTCTATGGCGGAGAGTGGATGAGATGACCTTCTGTTTGATTTTGTGTTGGTTTCAAATGATTTTAATACATGTGAAGCAATGTGTCTTAAGGTGTAGCTCCATGATACCTAGTACTCAAAAGCTCAATCACTAGTGTCTTTAAAGATGAGAGGGGAAGTTTCACATGTACACTGTTGCTCTTTAATTCATTCTGTTTTGTTCTCTTTTACCAGTATTCCCACCTCTGTCCAACATTAAAAACTTCTATGCTGGGAAAATCCACAGTAGGAAGTTATCACAAGTTTACGGAAATGGCAAGATAAATTGTAGCAGCTGGACAGTGTGAATAGGAACTGTCAATCACTTGGCTTCAAAGGGGCAGTCGGTGAGGGCTTGAGATGGGATGGAGATAGGTAAGCACTGACTGACAGAGAGAAGCTGTCAAAAACCTGAGTTGTGATGATAAAAGTATTAAAACGGCTGGCTTGTCCTGAACTTAGAAAGATTTAGATCTGGTGCACATAAGAATGAGATTCAGACAAACAGGGTCACATAAAATGGCCAAAATGGAAAAATCCACCTGAGAGATTAAATATACCCAACATGAACAAAGCAGCACTTGTCCTAGAATACTACAGAGGTAATCAAATTGATACGGGCTTTGAAAACACATAAAAAGCTGTAAAATCATAAACACACAGATGAATTCTCTAATCTTTATATGGTGTAGGCTCAAGTGAGGACAAATATCATGTGTTATTTACTCTGTGCAATCCTTCTCTCCTCCCCAGTCTTGACTGCAACTATAGACATTTACAGCAAATGCTTAAGACTAGTTTAGTAATAAATTTGTTAATTCAGTGTCACAAAATTATCATCAACCTTTGTGACATGTTCTCATTTTAAAATATGATTTGTATTTTACAGATGTCCCCAAAGTGTTTTACCCTCATAATTGGAAGACTCTTACCTTTAATACATACAACAGTCAAATATATGAATTGGGTAAAGTACTACAAAGTGATTACATGCATATATAACAGTTAAATATACACATTAGGTAAAGTAATACAATGCGGCCAGACTGAATTTTTAAGTAAAATTCTTGCATATTGTTAAACAATTCTGTTTTTTAAAGATCACATGAATACTCAGGATCTGTATTTACCAGCTGTTCTAGAGTGTAATAAATGTTTCATTATCATTTGGGCAGATTGAGTGATTACAGATAATGTTTCCCTGCTTCTTAGACAAGTCATCATAACCTCAACTTTCTAGCAGTGGAAGTGGCAATTCTGATGCAGCCCCAATTCCTTGTAATAAAAGCAGATGTAGTTCAGATAAAGGGGTCCCAGATCTTAACAACTCCCCTACTACTACTAGAAAGGAATAGTTCAGATTGGCTTTCTCTGCAGCCTATCCCTCCCATTAAATTACACTAACTTCCATCCATATGGACACATTTTAAAATAGATATATACATCAATACACCACATTTATAAATAGGAGCAAAAATACACATTCTTGATCATCAAGTATATTATCTTAAGTATATTACCTATTTTTGGAAAGTATTACAGTTAATTATATAGTTCTGATTTCAATGGAAGGCAGACTTGAGCCAACTTGAAGAACTATGATCAGCATTTTTGCTTCTACTCTTAATTCAACCTAAACTAGAATCATTCTAAAATAGATCATTTTCAGATATTGTGGTTTAAGCTTACCTTTCTGATTCTGCCTTCCAATAAGGGAGAAAAGTTGCTACCATATTGAATATTCTCTTTGTATCCTAAAGGTTTCCAGATGCTATTTTTACAATGTACCATTTAATTTATATAAATTTATAAATTTTACTCGCATTTTGTAGAAAAACAAAGCAAAACAAAACAAGGAGCTTCACTGATTTCCTTGTGATCCTCAAGCTCCTTCACATATTCAGGCTCAGGCGTAAGCCCAAGTCTCTCTAGCTCCAAATCCCGATTACAAAGCACTCTAGGTCTTATCGCTTTCTGTACTATTCTCCTTAACAATTAAGGAAAGCCTTTCCGATGAAGGAAGGGAGGAAAGTACAGCCAAACTTCCCCAGCCATTTTCACATCGTTCCCCTTGCCTGCCAGGAGTGACTGACTTATAAAAAGATGGCAGGATGACATGCCAGTCAGGGAAAGCTCAGCAATCTACCTCGCATGGCAGCTGCTACAAATTTAGCAAATTACTCATTGGCACATGACTCCACCTTTGATATCGTCTCCCCTCAGCTAAGAAACAAATAGCAGTTTGGCTCTAGTGTCAGCTAGAGGTGAGAAATCTGAAAGTAACCCAAGGTTTTGAGCTAGGTGCTTATGTGTCAAGGACTCTTTTCTGGCTTGCCTGACACCAAGGGGCTGGTGGGGAGGGCGATGAGATAGCTAGAGCTAATTCAAAGCAACTTTAAATTGAGAACTAGTTAGGGGACCTTGGTTCCAGTGTTAATTCTTTTTTTTTTTTTTTTTTTTTTTTTTTTTTTTTTTTTTTTTTTTTTTGTTTTAGGGTTTTTTTTTTTTTTTTTGATATTTTTTCAAATTTAAATTTGAAACAAGCTTGCTTTACATG